ACAAGTGGATGTTCTTGATTCCAAAAACTCTATGGATGATGTACTAATAGTAGCAGCAGGAAGTGTAGCAGGTGAGAACCGAAAGAATCTGATATTTCATCTATAATTAATTAACTTTGTAAATTTGTTAGGGTAAGCATTTGTGTGTGGTTAGTTGTATAGACACGTCCATTTTTTTAGCAGCCTGTATGTGTACAAACATTGATATATATGGCGAGATACATTATATATATATATATATATATTTTTTTTTTAATGGAAATATGTAAATAACAATGAAATAATGCAACAAGGAGGAAAGTATAAAATAGTCTTGTAAGTTACTCCTGAGGATGACGTAGATCATGTTGAAACATGATATTTTAAAGTTGAAGCCGTAGGGCTTCAATAAAATTTTTGTTGTGTAAGTATAAAACGTTATTTTTAATTGTTTATTATAATTTAAAAAAAAAAACGTTGTATGTCTCAAAACACTGCTGAACGTGCTGTGAATGTTGTAGTGTAGTGCATTAACATATTAAAAGAGGCATCATTACAGTCAGTGCACCAAACTATGTTACTAAACCTACTTCTTTTCACAATTATCATGACATATTCATATCCAAAGTGTTACTCAGGTTGTTTCTCAAACCCAGCTGCTTCCATTGGAAATGAATAATTGGTAGAAGGATTTATCATTCCAAATGATGCTATTTAAAATTATCTTTATCTTAATTTTGACACTCAATGCACCATAAGGGCTAACATCTTGCTTTCATGGCTGTGAGCTGTATGTCATTAATGAATTCCAAGAGCAAGTTCCATAGACATATTGTTTTGTGAGTCTATGGATGTCATGTACCATATTCCACCTTACTGGGTGCATCTTTTTTAGGGAAAAATTTTACTATTGAACTAAAACAAATTTTAGAAAATAAACTAGTAGTTGTTCTACCACAGATTTAAAAAAAAGTACTTTAGAGTTGAATTTTTTCAATAAAAAGTTTGTTCTTAATTTTAAACATAATAACTATAAATATAAAATCTCAAATTATGATATTGAGTTGATTTCATGCACTTCTATGAATTTCATGAATTTTTTTCTGATAACAGTATGGCACTTACAGCCCTAAGAAGAAAGTCAAAATAGCTTTGAACAAATAAGCACCAATTTGAAACTTATAACTTCAGTATAAATGTAGTTTTATTGAATTTGGCCAATCACTGTTTCTCAGACTTGGTTTTCATGGTGTGATGTAACTGCCTATAATTTCTACTATGAGAAGTCATAGTCTAGTAATGTAATCATGTAATCTAGATCAGGACGAAGAGATAACAGTTTAGCTTGGTGATATATTGCTAGAAGAAAAGCTGTTTGTGAACAACTTCCACCACAGTTGCATTCCTGATTTCTTAAATTTGTGAAAAGTTTGCTGTATAATTTTATACTTCATTTGAATTATAATGTTGAAGTATGGTAGGAAAGGAAATGTCTTTTATGGAACAAGATTAGGCAGGCTTAGCTAAATCATTTTGCACTTGATTGTATTGACAACAAGACTGCTGTTTGTTAGATAATGCTCACATTAGGTATTCAGCCTAAGTAATTGTTTCAATGGGCAAAGAAATGTAAAATATATAAATAAATGAATATAAAATTGATTTAAAACTTATTACACATTAAATCAAACCTTCTGATTAATAATAAATAAGTAAATAAAACAGCTTGTTAATGATTCTAGAGTGGTAAAAGTAGTTATTTTTTATTGTACACCAGTGATTATAAAGTTCTGTAAATGCAGTGAAAAAGGATTGCATGTTTTTTGAACCAAAATAGAGATGAACTTTATAGTTTTATAGAATAAAAACTTTAATAGAAAGCTTGGGTGTTTGAGTTGGATGTGAAGTTAATTTTCCAACACTTAAAACTCACATGAATTCTTAAGCATGAAATACTTGCACTGCACACTACTGTGTGTTACTTAAATGCTTCTGGCTATTTATAGTATATATTTGAGAAAAATGTGTGTGTGTAAATATTTTTCTACACCTTTCAGGTTTTTCTACTGTATATATGGGTTTAGAAAAGGCTGCTAAGGCACTGGCATCATGTCTAGCAGATGAAACTGTCCAAGTGGTCCAACATAGGTAAGTATTAAAATAAATCGTGAAACCCAATTTTCAGTTAGAATCTAAACCTTTTGGTGCTGTTATATAGAAAAAAAAGTTTTTATCACCTTAAATGATTTTCTTATATGTAAGTTGTGATGATTGCCCTTACTATATATCTATATCACTTTTATTCAGATTTTTCGTTGTAAATTTTGTTAGCGTTCTTTTTTATCTTTACTACACATTTGTTCAAGCAGTTTTATAGTTTATACAATTCAATCACAGCTTCAGTAATTATTTTAAATTATAGTTGGACTTGTGTTTCTTAATTTATATATATATATATATGTACAAGCAAAAGTTCCTGTCCCCCATTGACAGGAAAAGTTTAAGTTAACCACATTGACACAGGTCAAAGGCCATGTCATCATATTTGTTGACTCGTATTCAAAATTTTATTTAACTGCTATTTTATGAATTTATGTCAGTAAGTTTGGTATCAAATTGTAGATGATAATTCAAATTTTAGTATTTTAATTTCTTAATTTTACAAGTAAATATTAAAAAATGCACCTAAGTATCAATTTTTGTGTCACATGGTATGTTGAATACAGCATTGGTTTGAATACAAAGTCTATAGTTTCTTACGAATTAGAAACTCAAATTACCAATATTAACAAACTAGAATATAAAATAAGAACCTCCTATCTTTTCTGTTTGCTGAGATGTTGCTACATTTACTGATTCAAACACAATGGCCCCCACCTACCTCTCCATTTTTTGGAAACACTTGCTCACATACACCTACTTCTGTCTATGACGTGTGAATAACCAGTCGAAAGCTCAGAATGTCCCCCTAGAGGCTTTCTCAGGCTTTTTGAAATATTCCGTTTTGAGGACTCTTTTTTTTTTTTATGCTAAATTTCAAACGGTAAGGTAAAACTTTAGTGAGCTTGAAATGTCATATTTTTTTAGACCCAAATACAGCTTAGCTACTAAGCTTGATAAGTTATAGTGGATCTCTATGGTATTGATATAGTAATTTATGACTTTGGGTATTTCATATTGTATATATAAAACCTAAAAAAACTCATTTCATTTCACATCCTCCAAATTTGATAAGGCTTAGCAACTTACGGCAAGAAGCAAACGAGTACAAAGTTCGTATAAGAGACAATTGTTCTACGTTTTAAGGAGGCTCGGCATGGCCAGGTGGTTAGGGTGCTCGACTCGCAATCTGAGGGTCACAGGTTCGAATCTCCGTCACACCAAACATGCTCGCCCTTTCAGCCATGAGGGCATTATAATGTAATGGTCAATCCCACTATTCGTTAGTAAAAGAGTAGCTCAAGAGTTGGTGATGACTAGCTGTCTTTCCTCTAGTCTTACACTGCTAAATTAGGGACGGCTAGCACAGATGGCCCTCGTGTAGCTTTTGCACAAAATTCAAAATAAACAAACAAATGTTTTAAGGAAAATAAGTTTAAGAACTTATTTGTAAATATAGATGTATTATAACTGAAATGTGACTGTGTGTTACAAAATACTAGTCCACTGAAACACAGCCAAGATACGT